TGCATGCTTTTTCCTCGACTGGGTAAAATCCTACCTTTGGCTGTTCTCATATGGAAACGGGGCAAGAGTCCCCGGGTTGTCTGTTTGAGCTGATTTTGGGGCACAATGTACGAGTCCTCTTCGGGTGCTCAAAAAAGGATGGATGGGAGAAGACTTAGCTCAACACTCTACAACCCGTTTTCAAGGTTGCGGGGTGGCACGTCAGTTACCAAGGCTAACCTAAAACGTAAAAATAAAGAACAGAGGTATACGAAGTGCACAATTTCCCGCTCCTCCACCCGGGACAAGGTTTGGGGCAGGAACCTATCCCGGGCCAAAACCTTTGAAAACTTTTTTAGGGGACCTCTGCAAATTGTAAGTAAATTTTGTATAAATTATGGGGTGTTTCCCCTTATAAGACCTAAAAAACTTACCACATTAATAAATTAAAAATCTTTTATACACCAATAAAGCCCCCATAACGATCTGTCCTCTTCCTCTTTACATCATGATTTTCCAAAGTATCCCAACCCCTGAAACCCTTTCCCTTTTTGTAATGACACGATTAGTCATATCTCACCCTAACTTGCCCCCCCCTCTCCCCAATGTAACGAGGGGCGCCAAAAATCAACTTGGATGACAGCCAATAAACTTACACTTAACACTGGCAAAACCTCATATTAGTTGGAGCAGAGAGGTGCTGCACAACTTTAAAATTAAGATCGACGCACCTAATGCCCAAAATAATGAGGGCAATTTTTAGGCCTTACCCGAAACAACCCGAATTACAGCCCCATACCAAAACCCCAAACAAAAAAAATATCCAAAACAGTTGGGATCCCCTCCAAGAAACGATATTATGATGCTGCAAAATGCCCTTCTCACACTATCCATTCACTTATATATCCATACCTCACCTATGCTATTGTGCTTGGGGAAATCAACTGTAGCAAACACCCTAAAGCCAATAATAACTCAAACAAAAAGCCGCAGTAAGAATAATCACTAAATCCCATCTCTGGCAACACTCCCCCCCTCTGTTCAGAACATCCACACTTACTACTGTGCAATCTACATATACAGGACCTTGAATTCCAATATTAACCTTGACCTAAAATGCTTTCTTGATAGTTGTGACAGGACCCACAGGCATAACACCAGACACAAACATCTCTACGACATTCCCCGTGCCCGACTAAACCTTTACAAAAATTCAATGTATGTCAAAGGTCCTAAAATCTGGAACACCCTACCTGAAAACTCTAGAACTGCAGACACATTCATCACCTTCAAAACCACAGTTAGAAAACATCTTATCTCCCTGATACACCCCGTCAACTAACTACATAAAAACCACCTGGTGGTTCACACTTACACTCATTCACTCACCCATTTGACTATAAGCACAGAAATACGTATCTTAATCTTAAAATAATGATTCCTAACTAGTCATAAGTTTGCCTGTGATACTCCAATATAGAAACTAAGTATTGTGCCAAAACAAAAGCATTCACATTACTAAACTCACAAACTAGTATTTAGTCACACCAGCATTATTTACACAAACATTACTCACATCATTATCGACAGAGAACCAGATGATGCCATATATTCTTTATTACCACAGGCGGAGACTCGGAGTGCACTAAAATATATGTATATATGAAAAGGGAAGCAAGTGAAAAGAGGAAATAACTAAAATTTGAGAGAAAAGATAAACAGGGTTCAATTCTGTCAATGAAGAAAATATGTTGCCACCACCTGGTGTTCTAGCAGTCACAATGTGAAAGGTGATAAAGTTCCAGTAGAAGAGGGAGACATGGAATTTGGGTTGGAGTAATAAATACTCAGTAGGAATAATACATAAAGTAAAAGGACACAAGTGCAACTAATGTGACATTTTATTGTGGCAATGTTTCGCTCTCCAGGAGCTTTATCAAGCCATGATAAAGCTCCTGGAGAGCGAAACATTGCCACAATAAAATGCACATTAGTTGCACTTGTGTCCTTTACTTTACATTTGTGGGAAATTCTACCAACTTTTTTATGGGAAAATACAGGAATTAAACAAAGTATTTGAACGGCCTTAAGGTGTTTGGGGGTATTGGCCTAAACCTTGAGCAGCAGGACCTTATAAGGTTATTTAAAAATATAATTAAAATAATAATATAAAAAATTTTAATATATTATAAAAAATTATATAAATAATATAATTATTAAAATTATATAAATAAAATACAACTTAAGTGCTTTTAAATTGGGCCACTTAAACATATTCGAACGTTAAAAAAACATAACGGGATGAAAAAAAAAATTTTACATAAACAAAAATTACAGGGAACTAAATTTTGGGACACCACCATAAAAAATAAAAGCATCATACGGGGAACCAAAATTAAAAAACAACTACACATGACATAATCAACAAAAATTATGGCTTCTCTCCACGATCTCCCGAAGAATTTGCCTTATAATGCAGTATCTGCTAATTTCCCCTGATCAGTTGGCTTAATTCCGTGTTCAGGGTTTGCACAGGTCCTTTAGGGCATTGTACATGCCAGGTTGGGGGACTCTAATAAAAAAACGGGATTCTTCAAGGAAGCCCATTGGTTGTCTCATAAGTTTTGGTTATCTTTAGGGTTCCTGGGGTGCCCGCCAAACCCTTTTTAACACGATAACTGGGAAAAACAAAAATTGCTTAAGGTGTAAGGGGTGGAGTGGGACTTCTGTTTCCAGGTATTGTCGTCTGTTCCCCAAAACTTTTGAAAAACACCATTTCCCTACAACCCCTTTAAAAAAACTTTTTTTATAAAACACGGCGAGAAGTTAACCTTTAATATATTCTCTACTTTATATACCTCTTTGACTGTAACAGGGGTATTGAAATAAAAAAAAAAGATATTACAATAATAAAATAATAATAATAAAAATAATAAAAATAAAATAATAAAATAATAATGAAAATTAAAATAATAATAATAATAATAAAAATTTAAATCACTAAAAATAATAAAATAAATTAAATCAACCCCTAATATAAACCATAATAAATAATACTCAATATCAAACACATATAATAATATCACAACATAATTTAAACCTTTAATACATATCCTTCCAGTAACCAGCATTAAAGATCACCAAACCAATAAAACAATCTAGAAATTCAAAACATACACATCCACATCATAATGACATCAACCCCGATTCAAAGAAATCATAACCCCAAAATCACTCAAAAGATACACATAAGACACTCAAACACATCACACAACGAGCTCACTAAACATCACTCAACCAGCTCACTCACACCAGCAATCACTCACACCACATCACTCACACCAGCATCACTCACACCAGCATCCCCCACACCAGAAATCACTCACAACCAGCATCACTCACACCAGATACTCCACCACATACTCACACCACATCACTCACACCAGCATCACTCACACCAGCACCCACTCACACCAGCATCACTCACACCACACCCACATACCCAACATCACTCACACCAGCATCACCACACCAGCACACTCACACCAGCATCACTCACACCGCATCACTCAAAACCGGGCATCCTCCACCAGCATCACTCACACCATGAGCACTCACAATCACTCACAAAACCCAGCATCACTCACACCAGCATCACTCCACACCATCACCACACCGGGCTTCATCACCCCAGATCACTCACACCACTCACTCACACCAGCATCACTCACACCAGCATCACTCACACCAGCATCACCCACACAGCATCACTCACACCAGCATCACTCAAAACCAGCATCACTCACACCAGCATCACTCACACCAGCATCCTCACACCAGCATCACTCACACCACATCATCACACCAGCATCACTCACACCAGCATCACTCACACCAGCATCACTCACACCAGCATCACTCACACCAGCATCACCCCCACACCAGCATCACTCAAAACCACATCACTACAACCAGCATCACTCACACCATATCACTCACACCAGATCACTCACACCAGCATCCATCACACCAGCATCACCACACCAGATCATTTACACCAGCATCACTACACCAGATCACTAACACCCAATATCATTTACACCAACATCACTCACACCAGCATCACTCACACCAGCATCACTCACAACCAGCATCACTCACACAGCATCACTCACACCAGCATCACTACACCAGATCACTCCCAAAAGATCACTCACCCCAGATCACTAAACACCAGCATCACTCACACCAGCATCACTCACACCAGATCACTCACACAGCATCACTCACACCAGCATCACTCACACCAGATCACTCACACAGAATCATCACACCAGCATCACTCACCACCAGAAATCACTCACACCAGTTTTACTCAACCAGCATCACTCAACCGATCACTCAACACCAGCATCACTCACACCAGCATTACTCCACACAAGCATTAACACACTCCACACCAGCTTTACTCACACCAGCATCACTCCACCACACATCACTCACCCCAAACCACTCAAAACCAACATTACTCACACCAGCTTTACTCACACCAGCATCACTCACACCAAATCACTCCACATCTAAACCCACTTTACACCAGATCACTTACACCAGTTTCACTCACACCAGATACTCACACCAGCATCACTCACCCCAGCATACTCATCACCACATCACTCACACCAGCATCACTCACACCAGCATCACTCACACCAGCATACACACCAGCTCCACAGTATCACTCACACCAGCATCACTAACACCAGCATACTCACACCGGCTTTACTCACACCACATCACTCCACACCAGCATCACTCACACCAGCTTTACTCACACCACTCACTCCCAGCATTATCACACCCCAGATCATTTACACCAGTACCACTCACACCAGCATTACTCACACCAGCATTACTCACACCAGCATCACTCACACCAGCATCACTCACACCAGCATCACTCACACTGCTCAGCACCAGGTACACCAGCTGTGAAAGATGATCATCACTGAAGGACTTACCCTTTTGGTGGTTGTAACTTGTGGACCACGTCACATGCATGACTCACACCAGCGTCACTCACACCACTAAGGACCACCTCCACGAACTTCTGTGTTTTGGGCAGCGGCTGCAACGCTTCTGGTGTTACTTTTGCTGGTATTCTCACTGCTGTAGTGATGTGCCATAGTGTCATATCACATGATAACTTTCACTAAATCTACACCAATAACAATATCAACTTCACACGTATAGTTTCTCCTTTTCAACCTTAAATGTGTATCTCAAAGAAAACACCAATTATCATTAATGATTCCTCATTCTCCCCCCCTTGCTTTCCTTAATTAAAAAGATTAATAACTTCCTCTAAAAATTTCCCAAATTTCACAAATTCAATTTACCATATAACCACCCCAACACCCAAAACAATGTGGATCCACTGTTTGTACCCCATATTAACCTAACGTATTTCAAAACCACACCTTAAAATTAACCCCCTCCTCCCCGGTTCTTATAACCTTCCACCAAAACATTAGTTCCCACCTCCCCAAAAGGTTAACCTAATCAACAAAAATTTTGGGGGATAAGTCCCCGTTGAGGGGCCCAATTTCGTTAGGATCCACTCGAGGGACAAGTTTAAATACGTAAATCCTAAAGCTTATTCTTTGTTAACGATGAAGCATCCATTTTTGGGGGAAAAAACTGTTTCAATGTAGTAGAGTGCCAGTCTATTTACCTTTTGGACCAAAAAAAATGATTTTACTATTAACAATCATTAAAATAAATCTACATACCTCAAACAAAAAAAAATGATGCTAAACCCGGGAATATAAATTATATTAAAAGTAGGAGACAGGACCCCTTTTGTAACCTCGTCCGCGTTTTTACTGAAGACTTTCCTCATACATAAAAAAATTGATAAGTTTGTGTTAGGTTGATTTCTGAATTGGGAACAGGCAGATTTTAAAAAATAGGGGGTAAAATAAATTATATAGTTAACCCCAAGGAAATTATGCCAGGGAAGAGAAAAAAAACTCAGTTTATAACAGAAGGGTTTGATAGGCCAGTGATATGGTTGTAAGTGATATAGAAAATTTTACCGAGTGCTAGTGTAAAGCTATGGTGTAATATATGGGAATACTGCGCAAGTCTTACGGTCACCCCACTATTCACCCCCACCTCTTCCCCCGCCCTTCGTACCAAACAGCGGGGGTTGTTCCCTCCCCTGCCTGTAACCCGATACCAGGGATCCTCCAATTATCACCAATCCAAGCAAAGTGGAGACGATGGGATACAAACCGGATAATATAATCCAATATGTAGAAATATAAAATAAAGATAGTTGATATATGTGCAGGGAAACAGTGAGCATGCATGACTGGATAGTGGAAAAGGATAAACCACCATCCCAAATCAACTCTCGCGCCAGCCTCACCCCTCCGACACCCCAACCAGAAGGATGGGTTCCTCGACCGACCCCCCATACTGGGCACCGCATACCCCATTCTCCTAGAACACACGAACTACCTTTCATCACCGAAATCCCACACCACCACTACATATAACATTTCCAGGACAAGATAAAGCCAGCAGTGACATGACAGAATCAGATGCTGTAGATGTATGATAATGGACGTTATAGCACAAAAAGTTTTTAATGGAATAAAGTCTCCAAGTAATTACATCCCACCATACCCATGTATTGGACCTATAACACCCACACCCCTTAAGCGTTGCAGAGCTGAAAGGTAAAGTGAAGTCAGGCTCTTGTTGTACCCCATTGCATTAATAGGATACAGTCAGGATGGCAGTACAAGTATACCTGTGTGACCATGTGAAAAGGCTCCTAGGGTTGGAAAAAATCTAAATATCACCTGCATCCTTGCTTTTGTCAAAACACATGTAACCTGTGCAAATAAACACTGCAAACCAAAAATAAATCTATCTAGATAGGTGTTTTCTGGATCTGCAACAGGGATGTGGAATCTATGGATAGATTATCAGGAAATGCACTCAGAGGTTAATAATACAAAAACACGAGAAAAAGGAGGAACTATTGAATAGTCTACCTGGATATATAGAGTCATAGGGAAGAAAGGAAGAGGAGTGAAAGTCTAACACAGAGAATGCCCCAGTCTACACAACTGACAACCAAAAATATGCATGATATCACAACTAGAAAAAATCACAGGAAACAAAAACAACAGCTAGTTTCAGTCCCCAACCTTAGGGCTGACCAGACCCAGCCCCCAGCCATGAGAAAATCTGGATTCAGTTAAAGACCCTCCACAGCTACCAAGCCATACCCTAGGGTACAGATGTAGTAGAGGACGCCCTCCTCTGGGTAGACTCTTCTGCAACCATCACGTCATAGCCCCAGCCCCACCCCCCAGCCCCAGTTGCTGACCCAGACCCAGCCTCCCAGCCTTCTGCCACAGCCAGACTCTCCTAAGGGACCACTGACCAAAACACCAAAATAACAGTAAATATACAACCACATTGCACTAGACGACCCGTGGCCCACAGTAACAGATGTTGGAGAGGAGTCCTCCTCCTCCTTCCTCTACTTGGGGACAGTAGATGGAATCCAGGACGGGGTGGCCTCCTGGCTTGGAATACTGAGGATTATAGATGCAGTCCCAACACCTGCAGAAATTGACATCACACATCCTCCAACAATTCTCAACCAAAGGTGAATTTGTGCAAATAATCTGCTTGGGGCAACAGTAAACATGGAATAACAGGAGGAAAAAAATGTGGGACATGCAACTTTGACCACATCCGCAAAACAATGTAGCGACCTCAGCTGTCTAAAGGAGTGTGTCGCCTTACCCCTTCCTGTACATTTTCCTTTCCCACCCAAAAATGTGCCAGTCTCCTCGGTCCATCCAGAAGCAGGTTACAACATCGAGTGCCCCTGATACCATACTAAAAAGGGACCCTGGAGCACAGAAGCACCCACAGACTCATATACAATAGTAGCTACGACTACCCAACTCCAGGGATATTTTTTAGTGGCAGAAAACGAAAAAAGAAATGGAAGGAAACTAACAAAACTATCCACCACCTTTGGAGTCTTGTTGGACTGGAGCGCAGCCAGTGGCCACAACATGGCCCTTCCAGATTACAACTACTGATGCCAATAACTAAAATCCCCCCAACAAACCAATACAACCTCGTTCATATTTGGCTAATAATCAGGCCTTAAGGCCATCCACCAACAACAAACTACCTTTGTATCAGTGACTATTCTAGTGGAGTGTAATGCAATGTTTGCACCTTTCACAGAGACTCAGCACAAAAGATCACTTTGACAGTTGAAATATGAGATAAGTGGTTACAACCTTTTTAGATGCGACAGAAAAAACAGGCAACAAGGGGGTGTTGGCCTGTATGGTTTCAAAGAGTCCCTTATCTGCACGGAGTTGTGAAACAACCAACAAAAAAATGAGGGTAGATAAGTTCTATCATAAAGATCGTGAGAACCAAAACCTAGTATTGTGGTTGTATACAAGCCACCAGATATGTCAACTCATACCCAACATTTCAAGGAAGCAGCTAAGAAAATCGATTCCTGTTTGGAAAACCCTTCCATCTCCATCCCCAAACATCTCTGCTTGGTGATATTCAACCATAAAGGCATACAAAAATGAGGAAGAATGTAGCAAATAATGTTTTATATGCTGAAAATCAATCCCCGGAGGTAGCCGCAGATGAAAGGTCACACACACACAGAGCGACTAAGCTCTCTGCGAAAAACACACCTTAAGCCAGCAGATAGTGGAGCCAACAAGACTAGAAATTACACACATGACATTATCTTGCACAAATAATGAGGACCCTGATAAGGAGAAATAAGAATATCAAAAAACGAACTAATTTCCTATCACAATCTAATCGAAGTCCAAACGTACATGCATAGGGGGTCCTGAACAGCAGAATGCATGTACCTGTGAAGTGTCTTCACAAAATACAATTATCACACAAGAACATCAAACTGGGACTCAGCTAAACCATGTCATAAACGAACATGTTGAGGAAGATGTTCTTATAAATGAATGGATTCCAAAACCAGTGCCTTGAAAGGATCAACTTCCTGTTAGCACGAAGCATGTTCTACTAAGGAATAATTCCCCCATAAGAAAGAAAAGAGCAGGAGTGAACTGGAGAGATCTAAAAGGACGCTCCCATCTACAGAAGACGACGAAGAGTTCACTGAGCTCCTGCAGGAGTGCTAGAATATACGGATAGCAACGAAAGGAGGCGCTGACAGGGAAGTGGAAACTATCGAACTTAAGCTAAATGACTCTTACAGGAACCAGGAGAGGCAGGAGGGGAGAGCTTAAAGCTAGTAGTGAAATTGAACAAGAAATTTCCAAATATTTTCTTTCATATGCCAAAACCCAGGCATATACCACATCTATTAACGGCGGGGGGCCCTTACTCAGACAGGATGGGACTTATACACAGACGACAACAAGGAAATGATGAAATATGAAAATCCCAGTACGGACTTTCCGTGTTTAGGAACCACTATATCGGTCTGAGGAAACGCCGACCGCAATGATATCTTCATGAAAGGAGCCCACAAAATCACACCATAATCTGTATGCCGAGATTTTCCGACATTACCCTAACCTGTCCGATAATTTCGAAAAGCCATTGACAACATGCCTGCTGCCTCAGCCCCGGGCCCAGACTCGTGGAACTTCTTTTTCATTAAGAGAAATGCAAGAAAACCCCTCTCGGCGGCGTGCCCTAAGTACAGTTCTATGGAGGAGAGCTTGGACATGGGTGAAATTCCACAGTCACTTAAACAATCGATTATATGCCCCGCTCCCTAAAGGTGGCAGCAAAGCATTAGGCTAATGAACTATAGACCAATAGCGTCTGACGTCCCCACATCAATAAAAATCTTTCAAAGAGTGCTAAGAAGCAGGATTGCAAAATCACCTGGATTCCCAAAATCTGCACAAATCCCAGGGGCAACAATGGTTTCAGGTGCAGTCGCATCGCTGCCTCTCACAACTACTTGGATCAACTATGGACATTGGGCTTAGATGCACTGGAAGAAAATCATAATGCAGGATGTAATATTACACAGACTTTGCAAAAGCAATTTTGTACAAATGCGATCATGGCGTAATAGCCCTCATAAAATACTGTGCTAAAAGGAATAACTGGGGAAAGTGGGGAGATGATCTGTC